GGTCCGGCGATGCAGGCTAGGGGCCACCCTGGGCGCAGGCCGAAGATGGAAGGGTTGATGGCCTGCCCGATCAAACACCTGAGGCTCGGGACGCGCCTGGGGAGGGCTGGGAGGCAGGGGTGGTGGAGGAGGAGGCGGAGGAGCAGGGGACCCGCGCTGCCAGGAGTCGCCCGCGCACTGTCTCCCGATTCCGCGTGGGGCTGGTGACCCTGCCTGGCCGCCCGGGAGAGGCCTTGGCCGGAGGCGGGCGCACGGCGGGGAGGTTCTTTTTCCTGGTCTTTACAGGGATGGCTCATCCCGGGGTCAGCTCCAGCGCATCCTGTTTGTTCTCCTTTCCTGCAGAGGGTAATTACACGTGTGTGTGTGTGTGTGTGTGTGTGTGTGTGTGTGTGTGTGTGTGTGTGTGCAGGGCAGTAGTAACGATGGAAATCCTGTCTGCCTTCTTCCTCGGAGAGGTGTGTCTCGTTGCACAAAGAGCAGGAAAGGTTGGTTCTTCTGGAGACAGCCATGGCCAAGACATAATAAGTCTCTTCCTCTGTGGTGGTTCCTGGTCCGCCCAACCCTGCGTGGCAGGGGCAGAACATGTTCACACACACGCTGGCCCCGACGCAGACGCGAAAGAAATCGCCTTTTCTAGGAACACTCCAGCTTGTTGTGTTTGTGAGTCAGAGCGGGCATCCTCTGATGCTTCCAACCCCGTGGCGCCTGCAGTTTTTGTCTCCTGGGAGGACCTTGCGACCTACCCTACTCTACCGCCAAGCTCGCTCCCTGAGGGCCAGCCACAACCAATTTGTTTCGCATAAACCCAGTTCATTCTGAAGATACTTAACTACATTCTGCCTTGCTGGGCTGGTTCCCTGGGATCAGGTCCGTCTTTTTGCCCTCCCCCTCCTCCAGGGCCCTGCCCAGGGATCGCTCACAGATTTAGGTTCTCAACAATTTCACCAGGATGAACTGGAGGCCTCCCCAGAAACAACTGCACACGGAAGAGCGAAAACAAGAACATTGGACCGAGAGGGAGAGGGCCTTTCTTAGAAACACTAAAGCTTCCTTAGTCTACAGGGCTGGGCTGCAGTGCTTGACTCTGATGATACCGTGGATTTAGGCAGGGCTGCTAAAGTCATGCCCCAGAACACGCAGGGGGCTCCTGTCTGGCCCCAGTGCTCCCGGGGATCCAGTTGATCCATTCGGGTCAACTCTGTCACCTTCTCTTCAAAGAGCTGGCCTCTTGCTTCAAGAACTACTAAAGGATTTGCTGGTGATGGACTTTGGCACTAAAAGAAGACAGTCCCCAAATGGTGGATGGCTACAGGGCTGCCCAGGATTGGGATGTGAGGGACACCAGACACTCCATCCTCAGCCAGTTGGTCAGGGCCTATCAGGCACTGGGGAGCAGTGGGGAGAACAGAAGGCAGGACAGCCAGGGAGTCTGCCCTCCTGGGGCTCACAGTCCCACAGGGAGGAGGAACAGTAAACAGAAGAAGACATAAGTGGAGGGTGCAGGGAAGGAAAAATCCTCTGAGCTAGGGAGGATGTATCCTGGATGGGGGAGGGAGGTGTCCAGGAAGGGCTCCTTGATGAAGCAAAGAGCAGAGGGATCAGTTCATTCCCAGTTCCTGAGAAAAGGGATGGTTTGACCTGTTTGGGAGCAGAGAGGACTCTGTGGGACTGGAGGGGAGGAAGATGAGGGGAGAATGGTTGAAATGAGCCTGAATACAAGGTTGCACTGACCAGACTGGGAGGTCATGGGAAAGTCTTGGGACATTATCTATGGGCAACAGGAAACCTCTGAAGACTGTTAAGCAAAGTCAGGGCAGAATGAGATTCGTGTTTTTAAATCTCTCTCCGGGACTGTGCAGAGAATCATGGATCAGAAGGAATAGCATGTGTGTGGTGAGACCAGTTAGAAGGCTATTGCCAAAGTCCAGAGGAGAGAACATGGTGGCTGGGACTTAGGTGGTGGTGTTGGAGATGAAGATAAGGAGAACAGTTAGAGAAGTGTTCAGGGGTTGAACTGACAGGTCTTGGTGATGAAGTAAAGGGAATGAGGAAGAGGAAAGTAGCCAGTATTACTTGAAGAATCTGGCTTGAGCAGCTGTGTGGACTGGGGAGCCATTAGGGAGTTGAGAAACACAAACACAGCAAGAGGAGATGAGGGGATGAGTTCAATTCAAAACTTGTCAAGTTTAATATACCTTTGATACACTGAAGTGGAAACCGGAAGTGGGCAGTTGGCTATGTGGTTGTGACCCAGGGGGACAGTCTGAGCTAAAGACATACGTTTAGGAGCCATGGGTATATAGATGGTAACAGAATCGAGAATAGGGAATAAGACTTTGTTGTGGGAAAAGATAGGAAGAGAATGTAGCTTGAAAAGAGGGCCTTGAGACCTCCAGCAACAAACAGGCTTGAGGTGGAGAAGCAGGTGGGAGGAAAGAGGAAAGCCAGGAGGTATGGCGTACAGGTGTTGTGGAATCCTACCAAAAAGTTCTCAAGCAGGGTGGAATGGTCAGTTAGGTCAAAGGACGCTAAGAGATTAAGCAGGCGAAGACTGAAGAATGCCATGGGGAGCTGGCAGTGGGCAGATCCTTAGTGATCTTTGAGCAGTTTCAGCACAGGGGTGGATAGAAGCCTGTCAGAGACAGTTGAGGTGATAGACAAGGAAGCAGAGAGAAGTGTAAACACTCTTTCAAGAGGTTTGGCTGGAATGGGGAGGAGAGGGATAGCTGAAGAGGAAGATGGGATCTCTAGAAAGAGGAATTGTTACAAATGGATAAGCAACAGTGGAGAAAGATCATAGGGTTCTGAAAATCTAGGCAGCAATGATATCCAAGACACCAGCGAAGGCCTGGGCCTTAGTTAGGAAGTAAACATAGATGTTTGTAGCTTTCAGCTTTCTGTCCAAAACTGCCTGGTAGAAGTCACACATTTAAAGTGAGATTGCTGGACTGGATAAAGAAAATGTGGTACATATACACAGTGGAATATTATGCAGCCATAAAGAAGGACAAATATATGGACTTCGCAGCAACTTGGGTGGATTTGGAGTCGATCATATTCAATGATCTATCACAGAAACAGAACAGAGTACCATATGTTCTCACTCATAAGCGGACCTTGAACTATTATAATACTATAAGAAAGTGTTAGGCAGTAATGGGAAACTGTCAGGGGAGGTGGGGTGGGATTGGCAGTGGAGGAAACTGCTAGGGGAGGGAGGGGCATACCTCATCAACAAGGGTACCTGCATAATCAATGTTGGCATACCTAACCCTGAATTGTACCCCACATCTTTAAATAAATAAATAAAGTGAGATATTCAAGCCCCCAAATGCCATAGGCAACATGCAGTCTACCTATGGTATTAATCAAGCTACTTTCTCACTGTCTCACACACATATTTTCTCTCCTTCCTTTTTCCTCTTATAACATGTTGATTTTATTTCCCTCTCTGTGCTCATTTTTTCTTCCTGCAACTTGCTCCCTCCTGCAGCAGGGGAAAATGGCCACCAGAAGCCCCTACTTCCCAGATTCCCAGGATAACAGCCCCAACATAATTAGCATTTTCTCTACCAGTATCTTTTTTTTTTTTTAAAGTTATAGCAACTGAGTATCACTATGTTGCTCAGGCTGGTCTTGAACTCCTAGGCTCAAGCAATCCTCCTGCCTCCCAGCCTCCCAAAGATCTGGGACTACAGGCGTGAGCCTCTGCTCCCAACCTCTGCCAACATCTTAAATTCAATCTCCAGAAAGACTCTGATTGCTTCCGGCTTATATCATGTGATATGAAGAGGCTCCCGGGGAACAGTAGTCAGGTATTGACAGCACACAGTACAAAGTCTCTGTAGGAAGGAATTGTCTGCCAATACCAACCTCTCTTACATAACAACTTTTATCTGGAACTGGCCCTGAATTTTAAGAAAGGCTCAGAAGCAAGAAGTCCCTTCCCTCTATTCATTCTACCTCATTCAAAATCAACTTGTATGTAATGCAATATAGCAACTATTGCAATACAAATATACCTGTACTGATGGATTTAAATTCTGTATTAGAGGTCATTTCATAGACTAGAAGGTTTTTTTCATGATCACTGCTACTCTTTCTTGTCTTAGTCACACTACAACTTTGGACTTCTTTTCATATAATTCCTAGTATATTATTGAAATGTTTTCTTAATTGATGGGCTGCTTGATTGACTGAATCACTGCCATCTTTCTAATTTCTTAAGGAACATTTCACACAATCCCCATTCCATTTAATAGAATTAGAGCATTTAGAGAATAATACAGGTCAAAAATGACCCCGTGTGACTGTAAAATATCACAGCCTCTGGAGGGAAAATTGACAGTGTATATCAAAAGGTTCCAAGTAAAATGGCTTCTGTGCCTGAAAATGTCCAGCACTACTGGAGTGGTTAAGTAAATTATAGAATAACAGCTCAGCGA